AGTATATATAACACACCTCTCCTCAGCGGCATCTAGATCCTGCTCTGCCAGAGCAATCTTTTTTTCCAACTCAACGATCTGGGCCTCGGCCGCCTCAGCTTTCTTTACGGCTTCGGCTAATTTAGCCTCAGCTCTGACAGCAATTTCGTTAGCTGTACTAGACTCTGCCTTGAGGGCTGCCATCTTTTTCTTGACTGCCTCCATATTGTACAGGATATATCAACGAGTGTATCTACTAAATTTTTATTTAAACAGCAGGTGTAAGTAAATATGAAATGCAAGTCAGTAAGTGTGACTGTATTTATTTTGATGTATATACGCTCTTTAAAAAATGTGTATTTATATTATCATAACACCCCCTGTATCGGATTATCTGCGTCTATTTACATAGCCTGGGTTTAATTTTCAGAAGGCTATGCTATTTAACGCGATTAAATAATAATAAAATAGACCGCCCGAAAAACACAGACATCGCCAATGAATGTGAATGAAGGCTTAGGCGTTTAATCCCGGTTCACGTACCGGTTTCTAGATGACTCATAATAACCAGAAACCCAATTTTAGGGTTATGATTGTGGGTTTTGGGTTTTGGGTTTCCTATAAATGCCACAGAAATTAGGCGTGACCGTGTGCAGCTCTTTTTTTTTAATCACAAAACGGGGGGTGGGGGACGGTGGGTCGGAGGACAGTGGTACTTCTCTTGTGTATGTAGTATAAATATTAGGGTCCCTAAGCACCACTGAGGATTCATCATACTAGAGTAGTGTGAACACACAAGTCTTAAGCTCAGGATGACTGGCCAAAAGCTCACGCGCGATGATTTCGATAATCTTCTTAAAAAGAACCGAGATAAGGTGAGACTACGTAACATCGCGACGTTTAAGTACGATAGGACTTGGTGTGTTCCCTGTACGTCTGCATTGCGTCTGCATGGCGTCTGTGAAAGGGCTTTATAAAACATATGTACGTCCTACTAAGGCTCTTTGATCTCTATACTTTGGTGATCCAATGGTAGTGATCATTGACTTGCTTAATACGTCTTAACCAGAGTCCAGTTTATTTCTGTTCATTTTCTATCAATATCTCAGCTTTGTGGCAGTATCGATTATTACCACGGTTCCTTCTATATAGTGTTGAGCACATCTCATGGCAACTATATTTCATCTGTTTAAATTGCTAGGATATATATGTATATACTGTATAGCATCTCGTACTATAAATACAACTTGAAAATATTTGCTCATCTATATCGTTCGCATGAACTTTCTAAGTGGTTCATACAATCAGTTATATATATGTATATTTATATTTATATGTATATATATATATATATCTATATATATATATATTCAAATGTATATATATATCTATTTCTATTTATATTTACTATCTATATATATATATATATATATATACTTCAATATATATATCTATATATATATATGTATGTATATATATATATATATGTATATTGCTATGTATGTGCATTTATACATATATTTGTATATATGTATGTATATATATACAAATATATATTATATATGTATATATATATATATATATATATATATATATATATATATATAAATACATATATATATATATGTGTGTGTGTGTGTGTATACATATATATATATATATATATGTGTGTGTGTGTGTCTATTTTCTGTGTCTGTGTCTGTGTATATGTGTGTTTGTGCAATATGTATATATATC